TTAAGCTAGGGTGGCAAGGTTGGCGGGTGCGGGCCCCGGCTGATCGAACGGTGTTCAATGTCATCGCCAGGGGCGACCTCAATGGAGGAGGGAGGGGGGGGGTGAGCAGGTCTGGACACGGCCGGCGACTCCGGGGCTGCACGCCTATTAGTCGGCCCAGCACATGTGTGGACTTTTGGAGACTCGGCCTGCCCATTGAGATTTCAAGAAGAGGATAGACAAAGCAGCGCTCTCACTCCCTCACGCTCAGACCGTAGAGATTTTGAGGCGTTCAGCCAGAAGCCCAGCAGAAGAAGTTAAGCGTTAAGCGAGAAGTGTCGACACATTGGAGAATTCGGACACTCTTTCGCATCCCAGGTACACGCCAGGGAAGGCCAGCTCCTCAGCCTTACGGTCCCACACGACACTCACCGGGGTGCTGTTCTCGCCCGGCGCCACATCCACCTCGTCGGTCTCCGGGTCGGTTCTGCACGGGCGGGCGCGCCGGGCACGCGCGGTCCTCTGTAAGCAGTGAGTGCTGGACATCTCCTCGTGGTCCGCAGGTTCGTCGGGCTGCCCAAAGCACACGTCTCCCTCCTCACTGAATCGCGGCTCCTCTTCTCCCTCGGCGGGCGCAGGCGGTGGGTCCAGGCAGGCGGGACTCGTCGAAGACGACGCCATGCTCGCGGTATACAACGGCGTGCCCTGCAGGTAGCGGCCCCACTCCACCAGCTTGCTCTTGTCTACGAAGCTCCGCGCGTATGCCCGTCTGTGTATTAGCTTGCGCTTGATATTGACAACACACAGCTCGTCCTCCTGCGGCAGCAGCGGGATGACGGTGCGCACCGTGACCGTGTCGGCCGCGCCCGTCGGCACGCTGGTGACGGAGCCCCGCACGCCGTGCTGCCCGCGGCGGCCCAATCTGCCAGGTGCACTATCTGCTGGAACGGCAGGCGCAGCGCTAGAACGTGCTCCTCCACCTCGGTGAGCGGTCGCAGCCCGGGCGGCACAGGCGGGTAGCGGAAGCCGTTCGTTCACCACAGCCTTCGTCGGCGGCACCCGCATCTTCACGATGTAGCCATGACAGGTGCACAGGTCCTGTCGGCCGGGCTCCGTCACTAGCTTCTCGAGGTGCTCGCTGACCGCTGGGCCCATGTCCTCGCCGAGGCGCTCCACGTTGACGCGGTGCACGGCCCGTTCGTTGAGCAGCCGGTCGCACACGTAGCACTGCGCCGCGCACACGCCGTGCGGGTCGCGCTCGCACACACCGCCGCCACCACGGCGGGGTCGTTGGGGCAGGGACAGCCCTGGTGCTCTGCGCCGTCGGTGTCCGATATGATCGGGACGTCGAGGACGCCAACGTGGCCTATATCGTGTGCCTTGCCATCATGCGCTGCGCTGCGGTCCGTGCTCCACGGCAAGGTTCGCAGCGTTAGGATGTTTTACCGCAATGCTCCTCAACGGCGAGCTGCCCTACCTCGACCCGGAGGTGCCCGGGTCACTCGCAGAGGCGCTGAGCTCCCGTAATTTGCCGAATGAATCTCAGAAAAGCGGACGTGGTCGACTTGAGCTACTGGTACATGACGCCCTCCGCTCAGCCGGCGCGACTACTGACCGGCGTGCCCAACCTCCGTAAGCTTATCTGCAACATGATCGCCGGGCTGGAGGCCATGGTGGCGTGCAAATTCGCTGCGGAAGCTGGTGCCGGTGCCCCGCAGATGAGGGCGTAAAGCGCGAGGGCCGCGGCGAGGCTCCTGCCCTGCCCAGCTGCGCTCCGTCTACCTGTTCTGTGCTGGTGCTGGCCCTGGTCCCGTCCGCGTGGTCCCAGGTGGAGAGGCTGTTCATCAAGAACGAGCAGCTGCGGCTGGCGTTCCGCGTCAACTTCATCAAGACCACGAGCTGCACGAGCTGCTCACGTCATCACGGCCGACACGGCGCCGGCCCTGCGGAGCCTGCAGCATGAGGCTGCACCTGCATGACGTTGCGCAGCTTGCGCGCAGCGTGTCGCCCGGGCCGGGCTGTGAATGCAGTGCACATTGCAACTGCTGCACACCGACTGCCCCCCCCCCCCTCTTCCTGACTGGCTGATGCTGAACCCAGCCGCGGGGTACTAAGCCAAATTTGCCAATATTTTTGAAGAATTACAATCTTTGTACTCTCCTCTTTCCAAAAATGAATAGTTTTGTCAATTTTCAGGTCATTTTGCTTAGTACAGAGCCCCTCTCCTTTCGCACTCCGACGCTCGTCTCATACGTGAGCGCTCCGGCGTGCCTAACTTATAGCAAGCCAAATGACCTGAAAATTGACACAACTATACATTCTGGAAGAGCGGACAGCACGGAGATTGTAATTCTTCAAAAATATTGGCAGTTTCGCTTACTATAAGGCACCGCACATCTCTTACGTGAGCGCTCACTCACTTCCCCCGACCTCGGTTTAGTTCCCAGGGAAACTACAGTCGTCAGTGCAAGTTTCCTGAGGAACTTTGCCCCATTGCCAAAAACTAGCCCTAAAGTTTCAAGGAAATTGCAAACTAGGGGAAATAACAGCTGATTTACTAGTCAGAGTTTTATTCAAAATGTATACGAAACACAAGAGTAAGAAATTCTCAATACGAACTATAAAAAAATGCAACCATATTGCCTCACTATTGTATACTTCCTTTACGGAAGCATAATGTGAGAGAGGGTGCAGAAGATATTCCTAGATGTTCCTCCTAATTTTCTTCTTGCCGTTAAGGCCTCTGTTGAGTGCCTTAACAATTGTGTAGGATGCATCTTTCAGAAAAGATGCAACGGAAATGTGTTTGTCCTTTAATTCTTGAGTGAGAACTTTTATGGTCTCATCATTTGCCACAGCAGATACCGACCTTCGCCTGACGGCTTTCTTCTTCTTCCTCAGGACATGCAGATCCTGCTGGGTGCAGTCTTCCATCTCTCGAACTCCATCTAAGGCACAAGAGAGGACATAACTGAAACGATGTAGGGATGATCTCGCTGACCACATGACCACAATGTGGTCAAACCCGCAGGAGGGACCGGCGGTACATGACTACAATGTGGTCATGCCGGAAGGAGGGGACCGGCAACTCATGACCACACTGTGGTCGGGCCGGCAGGAGCGAACATTAACAAATTTGTTCACACCGACGTATTAAAAAATGCGTAAGCAGAGCACGTACACAGAACTCGGTAAGCTATGAATACAAATGTTCATAAGCTCTAAGAGTGCACGTCGTCAGACATTTGGCCACGACCAGCAACACGCCGCGCACTTAGTTACACTGTACCGCATGCACGCGTGTGGGCGGGCTGCCTACTCGCACGGGAGCCGTAAGGAGCCCGTGGGCAGCGACGATTGGAAAACCCGTATTAAATGCGCTTCAATGGGCGTTATGAATAAATGCCCTAAAAGGTGACGCATTAAAAGAGCGTCATGCGCATTAAATGCTGTAATGCGCTTTAAAAACGTCACCAATAAAAATAATTCCCTATCAATCTTCTTAATAAAACCATTACTTACCAATAAAATTCCAGACATTTGGACGCTTTTCCCGAACAGCGTCTTGAAGCATCCTGTTGTCACACTCGCAGCAATTTGTGGTTCGATCTTCACAACCGGACACAGATAGAATGTGTAGCTTTGGACGCCAAGTGTGCAACCAGTAGGATGCAAGGTCAGTTATCACCCCAGGCACATTCTTCTTCAAGGCAAGCCTCAATATGGAGCGGAACCCCTTCATGATGAAATTCTGAGGGAGAAGTGGAAGGACGCAGAAGGACCGCACCAAACGGCGAACGATGGAGAATCGCCTGATTGCTCTTACCATTCCCAGCTTTCGAGCTTTTCCTCCGACAGCCTAAGGGCACACCCCCAAAAACATCAGAAACAGCAAAGGCCTAGGGCACCCAATCCCGGACAGCTCCGATCGGTAATGCGCATTGAATTACACTAGTAGCGCCTATGCACTTAAATGCGCATTAAAATGCGCAAAAAAGGTTACGCATTAAATGTGCATTACGCGAATTAAGCGCGCATTAAGCACATTAAATGTTCCTAAAATGTGTTACTTTGTAGGCGCATTTCAATGCCCGGGAAGGTTAAACATTTTAGGTACACTGAATGTGCATTGCCGTTTTAAACGTGCACTTAACGCGCGTCGCAACATAGGCACACTAAATGTGCTTTCAAAGCGTCACCATTGTGTCATCGCTTATTGCAATTCTATGCGCATTGAAGAGCATTGGTGCTACTTGGGGATAGGGGCCATGGTTGGAAGCCGGAAAGTCAAGAAGAAAATAATATTAGTCTCGTACTCGATTTGAAAATAACTAACCTTGACATAATGAAACAGGCAGCCGTGGACTTTTGCATTAGGGAATGCCAACGCAAGAGCAGCCTGCTCGCCAGCTTCGAAGTCAGCAAATACTTCCCGCGGTTTGAAGCCAGGCGCGAGTTCTTTCAACTTCTCCAGAACAGCCGTGTATGATGCCTTGGTGCGCTTCCGCATCAGTACGCGCACCAGGGGCACGACCTAGTGCAGAGTGCGAATATTACAGTAATTACTAAATTACAGAGATTGGCCGTGAAACGTGATGCAGGCGCCATATGGTGTTTGCATCGCCGCGGGAAACATAATTTGTGCGCACTTTATGGGGAGGGACAATTATTTTGTAGGTAC